TTAATTTTTTAATAATCACATACTCTTCTTATGGTTTCAAGTAATATAGAAGACCCGAGAATAATATTTCTAAGTAAACCTAAACAATAAATGAGTATTTTTATATTTTTTAACTAGGATTTCATGTTTATATATGTACATAAAAAACATTTTAATTTTGTTTCATAAATGTATTTTTATTTCAAGTTTATTTTTCATTGCAGCCATACTTTTGTTTATTTAGCATGAACTTTGTACATTTGCTGTAAATTATCACACCTGTTGAGGGTCACTCATGCTCAGTCCCGCACAGACGCATCTGAACATTACTATAGATATGATAGTAAGAAAGCTTTTCGGTATTTGAATATCATTTCTTTGAACTTTCAAACCAGTTTATTTCAACATATGTCCTTGTATGTTGTTTTACTATACAGACAAAACTAATTGCCACTACTAGTGAATGTATGTAATAGTTTACAGTGCAGATGGTTTGAATAACACCGCCTGACCCTAGTTACATGATTCATCCTGTTACAAGAGATTACCAAAGGAAGCAGACACCATAAATTACAAAGAAAATTACTTTACAGCACTTAAAAGATTAGTCCTGGTCACATTTCTCTCATTATAGACATGATTTATATTGGAATTCGAAAATTTTAAGCTCTTCAGTGTATTGACACCTCAACTGTAAGAATGTCACAGCTTCCCCTGTATTATTGAGACTAATGTGTTTAGTCTGTTTCACAACCAACATATGGGTTTAATGTTGTCACTTATACACTGAGTTTTAAACCATTTGAAAAATATCAGAATAAGTTTTTCATACATCAGTTATACTGTCTTAATTATAAAGCAACAACAAAAGAAGTGTGGGTCTTACTACAAAGTAAAGATAGTACACAGGAAAAAGGCAAAAAATATAAAATTCTTACATGGTACTAGTAGTACGTATAAATCACACAAGGTTATCATTCTAAATACTGAACCATATTTTTATTATGAACTAAATATACAATTATGCTAAATTATTGAATTTAAATGCAAAAGAATAGAAAAATCACAAACTCTTTCAGTTCAAAGTTCTGATACTAATTTATGAAAAGACCTTGCACTCACCACTCAATAGATCTTAACCCTAACATTTGTGGATCAACTTCTTTCCTAAATATATATCTATTTTGAGTTAATTTTTCAATATAATGATTAATATAAATAGATATACGATATAGGATGAGTTAAGCTACTATAGAAGAATAATAAAAGTCACATACATCTCATTTAGTTTTTCCAGAAGCAAATTTACTAAGGCTTATAAAAAAGTACTATTGACCACTACTAAATACAACCTCTACATAAAATGAGAGTTACTATAGTAAGCACCACCCACGATCATATTGTAAGATCCAACGTTTCATCACACGTGCTTTGCTTATCATCCTATGATTTGACAAACATGAAATACAGCGATTGGAATAACATGGTAATGAAATTGACAGCTTCGAAAAGGATTGGCTAAAAGTATTACAACTGAGGTTTAACACTCCCAGATGCTGTTTTATAAAGAAAACAGACTAAAAAAAGGTTTAGATACTAATCATAGATGTCAGTACCAGAGCTTATTTATAGTCTCAAATGTATTTTGGGATTGTTTTATTAAGCTTCTCTTCAAACTTCATTAAATAGTACAATTTAGGACAAATAATTGAATGTTATGCTACTATTTACAAAAATAAAATCTGAAATCCAATGAAAGATAAGTTCTCTATAATTTTTTTCAATTCACAAATATGATTTTCCCTCACGATAAGACAAACTGGCCCCCAGGAGGTAAGGGGTTAAATAAATGTTAAAAAATGATAAAATATAATTTGTAAAATATATTTAGTTAAAAATTGTTAAAATAATGATTTATATTTTAATTTTGAAATATGTAAACATATAAACTTAAGACTTAAAAACTTTACTTGGCAAAAGTGATAGCATGAAAATGCAAAAAAACAAGAAAGCCTGCAAAATGAATGCTAAATAAGTTTTAAGAATGTAAACCCTTGGCAGAAGGATAGCTTGAAAAAATCATAGCAAATGAGAGTTTGGAATAATATTATGTGAACATTTCTTGTAGTTAACTAAAATAAATGTATTAAAATAATCATTTTAATGATTATTACTTTACAAAACTGGTCTTCTCTATTTATGTCAAGAAGTATAAAAATTGTACATATCTGGATTTTCATTTTAACCACAATATACATGTAATTCCAATATTTATAATACAATTACACTAAATTTATTTCTTAAAAATTTTCATTTCTAAAGATACATGTATGTGGTATCAACATACAATACTAATCTTTTTTTTTTTTATGGAGTTAAGTGATCACATGATTAAATAAAATTCAAATTCTTAAACATTCCCAAACCTATAAATTTACTAATTTCATTTTTTAAGGAATTTTCAATAATATTAGTATTTGTACTGATATTCAATGAATGATAATCAGCTTATAAAGGAGAAAAATAACCTGTTTTTAGCATGTCCTTCAGTTCTTGATCTTTTGTAACTAACAAATCTGCTAATTGGGCATGTTCTATGGCTGGTAGTTTCTGAGGTTTGTGTGCTATAATATTTTCAAAGAGCTCTCTATAGAAAAGACAAATAACATTTATGAGTAATAAAACACTATAACACAGAACAAGAAAAGTCTATTTACCTTATAACTTGTAGTAAGGGTAACAAACATACTCTTAAACACACTCTTGTGGTACTCTTTTACAAATGGTACTAATACAAAAAAATTACAAAGTTAGCAAATTGTGAAATCACATGTTGTGTATTACCATCAGTGATATTAAGTATTAATGCAAAAATCAGAAACTACAAACATAACACCATTTCCAATACATATGCAGTCACAATTTTGTACATAATAAATATTTTACTATTAAACAATACACACAAGTTTCTAGTAGATCATAACTATAATTGGATTGGGATTACCTTTTACACAAGATAAACATAACAGTTTTTCATATGACTTTATAAACTGTCTCTCAGAGCAACAACATAGTTATATGTACTTATAGTTCATGGAACAGTTCTTCTCTCCATCATTCATTGATATTGTTGCGTCAGCGAGGTCACGTGACTGGTGTCACGCCACCTATTTTCTATAACTATCCTGTTCCTTCGGGAGTGCTCTAGCATTTGCTAGATTGGGGGTGGTCTGGTATATAAAAGATGGTCACGGCGTGACGTGACAGTGTGTGTGTAGGTAGTGAGTAATTAAACTGCAGTCAGAAAGTATTGTTGAAGTTAACGTTCGTTGTTATAGCGTTTGTTATATAGCGACTGTTGAAAATAAGTGTATCGGTAAAGTTATATTCAGAAAGAATAAACCAGTTTTATTAAGTAAGGACTTGTGTCGCTAAAGTTTCGTCGGAACGAAGTTACGGAAAATCAACTAACGAACGGAGACGTAACAATATTTTTGGCCAATCCATACAGTTACCATATTTAAAAAAAAAAACGATCAACTTCATCAAAATATTTTTATAATAAATCTTTATACTTTACACAAATCATTTCAGCATATATTTACTGATCCTATTTATGTCTCAAAGCAATTTTATTGCAAAATAGAATATCACAGGCCTAACTTGTGCCATTACAGCAAACAGACATAACTTGGCAAGAAAAGCATGCAACTTTTTGCAGTAGTGATAAAAATTATGCTTAGGATATTCCATTTTTATATAAATATTTAAAACTTCATTCTACATCAGTAAAATATGTTGAAAAAATTCATGTACATATAATGGTGTGGTATGAACATGTTTAAAAACATTGAAGGGGTATACCAATAGCTTTGTGAATCAACTGGGAATAACCAAGTTCTAAACACAGTGAATGGTACTAGAGAAACCAAAATCTCCATTACAATACTAAAGTTTAAAAATTGCTCGACTAAATTCCAAGAGAATACTCCAAATTAGGACACAGAAAATGGAATTAGACTTATAGTGGCAAACAATACCATCAGTTTCACTGTGTTGTCTAATCAGAATGCTTTGGAATAAAACTTTAATTAAATTAAAATAATTACATTTTTGGTGTTACTGTTAGTTAGGAGAGAATGTGTGTTCTACAATAACATAACATCTTGGTACAACATGGGACCTATTGGTCCATTTTGGCTGTTCCATCCTCTAAACCAAACTAAAATTATTAATAAATAAAGAAAGAAAAACATCTTAAAACCAGCCCTTATCATTCATATACTTACCAAGCTGTCTTTTAACTCACTTAAATTTACTGCCTCCACAATATCCAAAGACAACCCATTCTACAGGCCAACCACCCTGTTAGAAAAGTAAAACTGTCTTAGCTGAAGATGATTCCTACCCTGCCAAAATTTAAACTTGTGTCCCCTAGTCCTACTATCCTCACTGTTAAGTATGAAAAAAGATTATGCATCAGCACTATCAATTCCCTTCACAACATCTCAATAAGATCC